AGCTTACTTGATCAATTACATCCTTCTTTGCTGTTCTCCAAAAATAATTGTTTAATACTTCGTACAGAGGTTGAAATTCACCATGACAGTAAGGATTAAGAACAATCTCTTTCCACCATGTTTTTACACAAAATGGATTTACGCCCAGAAATAACAAAAGACCAAATAGATCTAAAAACAACAACAAAAAAACCATTTTTAACTTGCAGTCAAAAAGAGATTATAGATTTTATTAAAAATATATTTCTTTGATTTTGTTAAATATCATATAAAAAAAATATTTTATTTTTAAATAGTTTTAGCTTCAAAAGATAAAATAATTTACCATATACAAATCATTAATCCTTTCACTTCCGACATCAGTGTTTTTCAATCTTTTTCTCGTTGCAGATTGATAAAATTATGGATAATTTTACACGGACCAGCAATTATATGTGACTATGAGTTATGCTTACTTATTTCACTTATACTTGTTTATCGCAAATTATTGTATGTAACAAAGTATATTTATTAACTCTAGATTACTATGTAAATGTCACTCATAATCAACTGTGCTGGTGTTGGTATAGTTAAATATTTTCCTGTTGATTGGCAAAATTTTTTGCAGACTGGCAGTCGAGAAACACTGCTCTAGATAATAAAGTAACTACTTCACATTGTAATTTAGAGATTTTCTGATGATACAAAGTATCATCAAAAAATCTGCAAACTCAAATATTGAACAATTTTGATGAATCAACAAGGACCTTTATTTATTATTGACTATTTTTCCTGTGTTTAAAGTGTTCTTATATAAATGTTTGAATATACTCTTTGGATATATCTATCAATCCATCATCACTGTTCAAAACTTATACTTATTTATGTAAAATTAGCATCCACAAACTCTCATTCCAAACAACGAATCTATTGCCACAATAACTCGATTCAATCGATTCAACTTAAAAAAAACGTAACTGTTGATAACTGCATTAAGCACTTACTAATATGAAAATAATATAATGGATGATTTATAACAAAATTATTAAGGCAGATAAAAGCATGAAAGTACATTTGCAACCTAATAGTATGCAGTCTGATAAAACGTGGTATTACTTATGATGATTTCAATTCTGGTGTTGCTGTTTTTGGGTGTGAGTTTGGTTTTACACATTTAATACTTGTGCTGCTTAGCCTCGACTTCAATGGTTTTATATATACAGTAATACCCAGACTTATGAAAAGTTAGAGTTACCTGGTCTTGATTTTTTCATTTGGCAACACTACCACCCCCATCTTCAGTGTTTCTCTTGCTGTGATACTCATTGGATACATTTCGTGCAAACTCTATATACACAATTTGATTCTACAATTGACAAAAGATTGTTTTGTTATATGTTTTCAAAATAGTGAGATACCCTTAAAAAAAACTATGTTGTCCAAACAAAGTAAATGTGATTCTCCTGCACCTAGTAAGAAAAGGAAAATGATATCTTTGGAATGTAAACTTAACATTATCAAGGATTTTGATAGTAGAATGAAAATTTGTGAATTGGCAAAGAAGTTTGAGCTACCGCAATCCATGGTAAGAACAATCATAAAAGATAAAAAAGAATTCGCAATGCAGTGAAAAATGTTCAATCCTTGAACGCAAGCATAAGTTGTAAGCATCATGGTAATATTGCTGAGATAGAAACAATGCCAAAATTATGGTATGATAATCAAGTAAAAGTGAAGAAATGTCCGGTCAATCAGATCATGACTATGTACTATCAAGCTAAGCTGATTTTTGAGAGGTTAAAAGAAGCTGGGGAGACAAGCAAAGATGAAAACTTTGTAGCTAGTAATGGTTGGTTCAACCAATTTAAAACTCGCTGTAACTAGCACAGCATCGCAGAAAGTGAAGAGGCAGCAAGTGCCGATAACAAAGTTGTGTCTTCTTTTCCTGAGACACTCAAGGCTATGATAAAAGAAGGTGACTATAGCAGTGAAATGATATTTAATGTGGATTAGACTGGTCTGTTCTGGAATAAGATGCCTAAAAGAATTTTTATCACAAGTGAAGAAAAAATTTTTCCAGGCTTTAAGGTTTCCAAAGACTGATTGACAGTGACGATTGGTGGGAATGCAGCTGGTAACTGCAAGTTAAACCTCTCTTAATTTTCTGAAAACCTCTCTTATCTTTCTGAAAACCCAAGAGCCTTAAAAAATGTACCTAAAATTAGCTTACCAGTGACTTGGAAGTCAAATCATAAAGCTTGGATAACAGTTTCTGTTTTTGAGAACTGGTTTGGTCACAATTTCATACACAAAGTTGAACGTTATGCAAGTCTAAACAGATTCCATTTAAAGTGATACTTCTCATTGACAATGCACCTGGTCATCCTCCAGCAACCCTAATTGATTTCGACCCACATGTGAAAGTAGTTTTTGCCTCTAAACACAACCAGCTTGCTTTAACCGATAGATATGAGAGTCATCAAAACATTGAAGGCTTACTACAGGAGGCGTTTGTTTGCACATTTGAATGAAGTTATGAGGCAAAATAGTGAGATATCTGTTAAAGACATTTGAAAACAATTCAGATGCCATAAGAATCATGGAATGAAAATCTTGGAATGAAATTTCCAAAAAGAAATTGAGTGATGTCTGGAAGAAACTTTGTCCATCTTTTTCAAAAGTGAGATGGAAACAACGCCAGAAACTGATGATGTCACTCACATGATAGAAGAAGTCGTTAATCTTGCCAGACAATTAGATTTGGAAGTCAGTGATGATGATGTCAACAAGCTGTTGGATTCAAATAGTCAGAAGCTAACAATTGATGAGCTCACAGAGATGTGAGAGAAAAAACCACTGAAGTATCTGACACTTTAGACCCAGTTCCACCAGAAAAGCACACAACAATTGCAAGCTTGACAGAAGGTCTCAGCTCAATTGAAAAGTTTAAAAATTTTAGAAAACATAGACTCCAATGAAGAATGAGTTATAGCTACAAAGTAAGGATTAAAAAAATTGTTAGATTGCTACAAAGAAATTCCATATGAAAAAAAAAGGCATTGTGTCATCAGACAAATTTGTTAGATTTTATGAAGCCATTGACATGCAAAGTTGTACCCCAACTTATGCGAATTAGACTTAAGTGATTTTCATCGAACCCACCTATCATGTAACTTCAAGATATTACTGTATGCATATATCAAATAATAGTCCTTTATATTGCCATTACACTTCAATTAACTTAACCACTTAATGTTGAAGCTATTCATTTCTTTATGACATCACACATTAAAATGTTGTGTACAACAAGATATAACAGTTATAAAAAAATATATTTCTTGTTAGACTATACATACAAGATGAGTCCATATCATTCAATCCTTTCACATGCTACTAAGGCAATAACAGTTCCATGACGGAGTCAACCTTTTATTTAGGCTACTCGTCCACCACTAAATGCAAAAAAGTGGTATGTATAGTCTAACAAGAAATATAATTTTTTGTAAATGTGAATTCGTCTTGGCAATTTTTTAAAAAATGTAATTATTAATTTTTAACGTGCTACTGCTAGAGGACTTTTTAACTTTTTTGCATTTAGTGGTGGATGAGTAGGCTACAATAAAAGGTAAACTCTGCCATAGAACTGTTATTGCCTCAATAGTGTGTGAAAGGACTGAATAATACGGACTCATCTTGTATGTATAGACTAACAAGAAATATATTTTTTTGTAAATGTGAATTTGTCCTGGCAATTTTAAAAAAAATAAAGGATATAACAGTGTTTATTAAGTCAAAAGTTGGATATACATATTTATATGGTAAATGTAATTAAATCTGATTTGCATTTAAGTAAATTACATCAAATTTCTAGACTTTTAATCAATGTATTGCCATTCTAATATAAATTATTTAAGAAAATATCATTCCAAAATCTTCTGTAATATATTAAAGATCAACTGCCCCAATTATCTTCTGTCCAGAAACAGAATTTAGGTACAGAATGATGGTTTTTGCAAGGTTCTCGGGACATCTTGGAATGACACAAGCTTCTAGGCATGCTGAAAGATTCCGATATCCAATAAATTATTGGGAATTAGCTTGTCAAGCACATCAAAAAAAGCTATTTAGGGTAGCAGCTTCAAAAAGTAAATTGTAAACCATTAGTATAGGCCCACAATGAGGCTCAGCTCTTCTAGATCCTTATTGTGGCACCCTTATACAATTTCTTTTTATAAACTTGGTACACACTTCTTACTTACAATATTTTTGGAAGTTTGCTGACCATTACTTAGTGCGATATATGTAGAGATTGTAAACGTAACTCACAACTTAACCTCAAACAGGCAATGAAAAGTTTAGGTTACATTTATAATATTGAAGGAGTTAAACGATTGTTTAACTAGTCAGTCATAAATTACAATAAATAAAGAAAAATAACAGTGATATTTACTATAAAACAATGGTAACTATAGTATTTTAACTATATATAATATAAATAGATGAAGCGGCTCTCCAATAAGCATTCCAATTGAGGATGTGGCTTTCAAGTGTTTTTGACAGGCAGTGTATGGTTCCTATCATGACAAGATTTTGCCTCCACCGGTATAGACTATTCTTTCATGCAATAATTTACTATTTGGAACATTCAACTGTTTTTGAATAAATGTCAAACAATAAAATCAATCTTTTCTTTATGTTTTATATATCAAAATCAATATTGTATGACAATGCCCATAACTAAGAAAAGTTCTTTAAATTTAAGTGCAGTTTGAAAAGTCTGAAAAATTGCATTAATTTTAACAAAATCAAACAGAACTTTTGAAATTTCAAAGCAATTATTTTGAATTAATTTTAAATATTTTAAAAATTTAACTTAAATAAATCAAGTCGGAATATTTTACCATCTATACTTTTCTGTATAGGAGTACCAGTAACACACCATCTGTGAACAGATGTCAATCTCTGGGCCATTTCGGCAGTTTTTGTCGTCGTACTTTCGACCATTTGTGCTTCATCCAGACAAATGCGCCACCATTCGATCGACAGTAATGGCGAAGGAATCGTCATGAATCTTTTTGGGTTACGAAATCTTCTTCCGGAATCATCTTTAAAAATATACTCAAATAAGAATTCAATTATGTATAAAATTTAGCCAAATTAACAATACACTTTATGAGTAAATAAATTTGACT